TCCTACCATTTTGTCTGTAATTTGCTAAGTCCCCCCTATTATTATGTTATCCTTCTTTTATTCTTTAAAATAAAAATTTAAAAAAAATAAAATAAAATACGTGCTGTGAACACATATGAAGCAGATGCTAATTTGAATGAGACACAAACTAGACCATTGCATTCACCGGCTTCTTCAGCTTTTGAAGGAAATATGCAAGTGAAGAAAACACGTTGGTAAGGGGGAAGGGATCTTGGGCATAAGAAGCAGAAAGGGTTAGGATCTCAGGACACAGATGGGGCCTTTGACCCCGGTTAGATGAATCGCAGCACAGTGGAAGGATGTCCCAGCAAGCAGCACTTACCCTCAATGACAGAGGTCATGACACTGACAACACTCATGGCTCTCTGGGCTCGGAAGGGTTCATTCAAGTATTCTGCTGACAAGAAAGCCTTCTTCTGTCCTGCATCAAATGCCTGCCAAAACAGAAGCAGTCAGGATGCTCCCCCAAGCTGAAGTCTTCAGCAGCAAAGACAGATCACTCAGCCTTATGGTGGCCAGGCCATGTGAGCCACCCTGAGAAGCCACGATCCTCTGCACTCAGGCTTGAAGAAACAGGGCTGTTGCTTGAGTGCAGGTGTGAGGACCAGGCACAGAGGTAGGATGCAGGTGCCCAGGCTAGAGGCTAATTTGGCAGCCAAGACTCACCTGAGGCTCTGCGAACTCCTTCCTTAGGACAGGACCTGGGCACGAGGACAGTGACAGGGCTGCCTCAGAGGTCTGAGGTCTCTACCCAAGGGAGGAAAGCTATAGAGGCGCTGAGACTGCAGTTATTAGGAGACTTCCTCTGGGCGGGGCATGTGATGTTCACCTCACACTTCACCATGGACAGTCCTGACTTCCTTACTCATAGGCCCTTTCCCTCCCCAGCACACAGCCAGGTCCAGTTCCACACACTCTCTTTCTTGGCTAGAGTCGTGCGTCTTGATCATCCAGCTGTTAGTTATCCATAATAAACTACATGTTTGCCCCCACCCCATCGTCCTATGTTGAAATCTTAGTCTTTAGTGTAGTGGTGGTAGCGGGGAGAGGCCTTCAGGAGATGATTTAGTCACGGAGGTGGAGCCCTTGTGAATGGGACTGGTAACATTTTAAAAGAGAAGCCAGAGAGCTCCCTCACCTCTCCTACTATGAGGGCACATCTATGAGCCTGGAGAAAGGCCCTCATTAGACACCAAATCTGCAGGCCACTTGATCTTGAAGTTCTTAACCTTTAAAGCTGGGAGAAATACATTTCTGTTTATTAGTCACTCAGTCTGTGGTATTCTGCTATTGGAGCCTGGACAGAATATAACATTGACTAACACCATTGTGTTGGCCCTTCCTTTTGTGAACCTTCCTAGGAAGTTCTGTCTGGGCTCTACACCAGGTCCAGACAGAATATAATTGTACAACACTCTAGACTTGGGGAGTCCAAAGCATACAACAGTTTGTCGAGCACTACACAAAGCATCAAGAGTCTAAATTCAACAAGCATTTATTGAGCATTTACTATAGGTACAGCTCATAGGTATGTAATAAACACTTAATAAATGCAAAGTTTAGGAAGTTTCCAACTGGGAGGACTCAGCATAGGATACTAGTGGCTACTATTGGGTGTTTTTTGTCAGACATGTATATGAATGTTTCATGTAACTATCTAAGGTAGTAGAAACCCCCTGATTTTTTTTTTTTAAATAAGGAATGACAAGGAGGCTTGGAGAATGAAGGGACTTGCTAAAGGTGGCTCAGTTGGTAAATAATATGTCTTGGACTGAAATCCACATCCTTCTAACACAGAAGGGCTTGAAGTGTTAATCTTGTACTAGTTGAGTAATTTAACCAGAATGAAGGAAGGCTAAAGCATCAAGGAATGTGACAATCCCAGGAACAGTAAAGGAGCATGGGGAGCCTGTTATGATTTAGATCTAGAATGTTCCCCTAAAGTCTCTTGTGTGCAGAGGTGGGGCTTTCCAAAGGTGCTTGGGTCATGGAAGTTCTATGGACATCAGTAGATTAATCCATTGGTGACTCTATAGCTGAACGTTGTTAGGAGGTGGGGCTGGTCAAAGACAGATCACACCAGGGGCATGATCTGAAAGTGTGTTCTTGTCCCTGGTTCCTCCCTTCTCTTTGTGCTCCCTGGCTACAGTGGGTTGTACACCTTTCTACCTCCATGCTCTTGAACCATGCTGCTGCTATCTTGGTGCCAGCCAGCTATGGACTGAATCCTCTGAAACCGTGAGACAAAATAAACCTTTCTTTCTTAGGTTGAGGGTGTTGAGCATTTTGTTTCAGCAATGGGAGAGTGGCTAATACAGAGGCCATCAGAAGAGAGGTACAGAATACCTGGGGTGAGGCATTTTCTAGAGTGCTAAAGTTCCTCTCAGGGAGCCTTGCAGGCTGTCTTTGATTTCAGGACACTGTCTTGGTGATTCTGCTTGTCCTGGAGATGTACTCTCCATCTCTCTGCCCTGCCCTATGTTCGGGAGGGGACCTATTCAGGATTCACTACCCTCTTCCTCTGGCTTGGGCACAAACAGGATTCTAAAGAAGGGGAAGAGACACAAGTCAGATATCTGTTTACTGGCTTCTTCCTGTTGAGCTATGGCTGGGTGGCACTGTGATCCTCTAGCTAAGAGCATAGGTTCTACTGGGCAGCCTCCATCTGACACATAGCCACCATCCTGGATACATGATTTTCCTCCACTTTGTCAGCACAGGCATGTCATATCTCCCTACTGGTCTTTAGTGGTTGCTTTACTGGTTGCTTACTGGTTGCTGGTCTTTAGGTGCTTCACTGTCCCTTATTGAGTCCCTGAGATTCCTCCACACTTTTGTAAATACAGTGTATCTTGGTTTATGAACTTAATTTGTTCTATGATTTTAGAAAAGATGTCCACACTTGTGTGGGAAAGATGGCCATGGTCATGTTTGTCACCTGATTTAGAGTTTGCGGACAACCACAAAATTTTGCCAAATGATTCTGTTTGCAAACCAATATATTGCAAACAAAAGCATTCGTGAACCAAGGTGCCACTGCACTAAACTCTTTACATTGGACTGAACCATCTGTTCCTCGCTGGGGCCCTAAATCACATAGCCTCTGATCAGATTGAGCTAACACAACTCTGTAGGATTTATCTGAGCCAGTGGAACCGTACAATGGTCTCTTTACAGTTCCGCAAATTGTTCTTTATCCCTGGGTAGCTAAAGAGGGCAAATGGAAAGTACTAAAAACATCATTACTAAAATTGGAGGAAGAGTTCGAATGAAATCGCAGCTCCCAGTCCAATGAGGAATCCCCAGTTTGCCACTGACTCTGTAATATTCCATTGATGAGTGCTGGACAGATAGTTATTGTTTCCTAGTTTGTGAATTTTGGCAAGTTATTTCATTAATAAGTAAAGCAAAGTATATGCCACTTCTAATAATAATAATAATAATAATAATAATAATAATAATAATATCTATCCTGAGTATCTCCCAGAAGTCTTCTGGGTCCCACTTGCCCCAGCCTCAGGCAACAGAAACATAGGCTTAGAGAAGGACCCTCAAGTTTTCTCACATTCACAGAGGGACAAAATGGGGCTATCTTTAAAGTTGTCATGCTGAGTAAAGACAGGGAAACACTGAAAAAATTTGAAGTCAAATGGAAAATAATCTGTATCACTGTTCTGCAGAGTAACCCAGGAAACCTGTTCACCTCTAGTAAACTCAATTGTCCTTACTGTAAAATGAGAGTTGAATGGGGGGCCCTGGACAGAATGGTGGCTAAGTAAACTTTTCACTGCTGATGCTCAGGGTTTTTGGCCAAAGTCCTCTGGTGGAAGGCAGCTGGGGAGAGTCCAGAGCATGCACAAACTCACCGAGACTTCAGTGGCTCCAGGGGGAAGCTCCATAGTGGGCCGTGTGCTGTGCCCCTCTTCTCCATGCCAGGAGCCAGGGTTGGGGAGCTGAGGCAATGGGCTCCTGGGGAGGGGACCTTGCTGCCCAGAACCCCTGCCCAGCAGCAGGGAGCCCCGACGGCTTTCATGGTCCCCATGAAAGACTCCATCATCTGTGATTCCATCAGGGTATGAGACATCTTGGCCAGGGGCTCGGAAGTGGAACACACTACCATGGCTGGCCCGGCGTCTCCCAGAAGGAAGACCTAGGAAAGACTGGGCATTGCCCCAGAGGAGCAGGAAAGGAGGCGAGATGGAAGCTTGTTCTCCAGAAATACAGAGAACACTTCACCCACTCCCACTTCCACTCCCTGCCCTCATTCTCATGACCTTCCTGTAGCTAAACAAAGGCATAGATTTAAAGTGTATTCTAGGTAGACACAGGGAGGTAAGAGAAGAAAGGGATATTCTAGACAGACTTGGGGAAACATGAAGAGAGGGGAGATTCAGGGCCCCAAAGATTAGCATATTGGTCATCAGGGCCAAGAATACATGAAAGGACATGCTGGTCATTGGATGAGTCAGTTGCTTGCCAGCCTTTGGCCATAGGACTAGACAGTGTTGTCATAAGTTCCCTACATGCAAAACTGTGACCTAAGGAGACTTTACTGTGTACACCAGGACTGGACCTTGTCTGGATAGTGGTTGTTGAATGAACAAGTGCACTTTATTGCCTGAAAATTAGGTTGTACAATTCATTAGCTCTAGGCTGTATGAGCTGAGAGTTTGTGTGGCAGAGGAGACAAGAGCTTTATAGTGTAATGAGTCTCCAGGACCCCTTGAGACAAGCTTTGAAAAGTCAACAATGGGAGATTAAAGGAAGAGTTGCAGCCTAATTTCCTGGAAGAATAATGCTACTCTTCCAAATCAATAAACATTTCCCATCAAAGTCTTCTGCTGAAAAAACTGTGTGACCTACAGATTCCAGAGGAAAGGAGCTAATTCACAAGCTCAGAGTCTCCAGAGAGTTAGTGCGTGGGGTTAGCTGGTTCTCATGACCACTGTGGAAACCTGACCATACACACCACCAATCCTGTCCTCAGGTCCTAAGCAGCATTTCTAACTCTAAACACTGACTCCTTACAAAACTGATCAGACTGCTTGGTTCCTCCCTTCTTTCATTCTGCTTTAACTTCTTGTATTTATTAAACTAAAATAAAGTGGGGTATCTTATCAGAATCTGCCTCACTTCTCCCTTCATTCCCCAGAACTGAAGTTTCTCTTCTTGATGATTTGGAACCTAATCCTAACTAGCAACCATCATTGCAGACCTAGAATTATAAACACAGCACCTAGAATTATAAACAGACCTAGAATTATGAGCACTATGCCTAAAGTACATGCCCAAGGATCACAGAATCCATAAAAATCCAGGCACGCTTTCCACTTTTGAAGGAAAGGAGCAGAACTGGCAAATCCATATGAAAGATGGAAAGTGTGAGTTATTTGTACTTAGGCCTAATCAAACCAATGAGAGAACTGTGAAGTACATTCAGCTTCTGCATTTGACAGCCAGTAGCTGCTTGGCCACCATTTACATTAGAATTAATCTATCTGACAAATGATGGGCTGTGACCTCAAGGCCAAGCTGTGGAGCTGGCTTTAAAGGTGTCATCCAAGTAGCTGGCTGGTCTCCCGTGGGTTTCTGGAAACTCTCGCTATGTCTCTCCAGTGTTTTACCCCAACCTCCATCTAATTGCTGCCAGTCAGAGAGTGGTTTTATATGAAAACTACCTTAGGTCTATTTACTGGATAAATATGCCTGGGGAAGGAGGAAGAGGACGTCTTGAATGGGCCCTACATGGCCAGCCAGTTAGCCTTTCAGTGCTCAAATGGTGTCTCCCTGTCTTTGCATCTACACATTCTTTTTTTTGTTTTAAAGAACAGAAAAATAAACAATAAAAACAATGCTATAAAATTTCAAAACAAGATTGTAACAATGGTTAGTACATTGTGTATTGTTATCTTCAAAGCAGTTGCTTACATTATAAGATATAGGCATGAAAAACTGATTATGCAATATAGGCATAAACCTTTCCTTTCAGTGAGCTAATAGCAGTTAGTAGTATAACTACCTTAACTATCTTGTGTGGATAATATATATATATATGGTTTTTTTCTTTTCCTTTTCCTTCTTTGCTCCTTTCCCCCATTCCAGTTTATCTTTCTTTTTGAGCATTTTTTTCCCATTTCACAATATCTATTATACATTTCGGGTGTTATTTACACTTTCAGCTTCTTACCCTACAGAGACAACACAATGTTTACACATGTGAGGCTGGTTTATTTCACTTAGAAGTATGGATTCAAGTTGCATTATTTTTTTTTTTTTCCAGGCTGGAATATGCCCCTCTAAAATCTTCAACCACTGCAGGACCACTATCTACAGTACTCTTTACTTTTCATTCCAGTGTTTTCCTCCTCTAGGAAGCCATTCCTGATACACACTCATTGCCGTAGGAATGAATTTTCCTCACCAATTTCTAGGACACTGTGTATGTGCCTCTAATATAGCATTTGCCCAAAGACTTGTTTTTGTGACTGCCTCCCCAACAAAAATAAAAGCCCTTGGGAAAGAGGCCAAGTTTTCATCCTCTTTATATGTCAAGCACCTACTAATGTTGAATGAACAAGACATAATTTCTTTTTTTCCCTTTGCAGGTAAGTTTAACTGGGAGAGATAAGCAGAGAAACCAGACAGTTTTTGGACATCCAGATGCTAATAGGTGTGGGGCCCAATTCAGAGTGTCACTGACATGGCCATGGTAGCTGTGATTCAGCTGTTCTGTAACTGTCAGAGTTCTAGTCAATTCCCTTTGAAGCATCACCTGGATCAAGCCCTGTGCATGTCAGGTGCCTTTCAAGGGAGGCAAAGTGAGGAAGAGCAGGGACCATCTGTAGGTGAGTTCTCCCACATGAGTATGCCACTGAGGCCAGACTACATGTATGTGTATTTGTGCATGTAGGAGCACACATAAATCCAGGGGATAGAAAGATTTATGTGTGGAGAACTTCCTTTACTGAGCACAGGAAGCCTGAGAAACACCCCTGTCCACTCCCTCCCAGACTCTCAGGGTGGGAATTACCCTTCCATGGAAGGAACCCTATCTCTCATGCCAGCGGCAAGCGGGTATTTGGTGCACATAGGAATTTCAAATGGTGAGAGGTGGTGGGAGGAAATTTGGTGAGGGAATCTTGGAGTGGGAGGCAGAAAATTATTAAGGTAAGGTGTTGAAGCCACCCCCAGGTTGGATTGTGTCACATAGACAGGCACTGGGTTCTTCTTGCCAAGAGCAGGTGACAGTTTGAGCTGCAGGCAGAAGCATGAGGTTAGAAAGCTTGTGGCAATTTCAGGACTAAGCCGGAAAAGCCCCACACCGGCCCCAGCCTTGCCCATCAGCACACCCAAGGGATCAGCACGAGCAATACGGTTCCCTCCTCCCCTCCAACCTCTTCCTCTAGTGCTCTGCCTCAGAATCACCACCCATCACAGGGACCCACCTTGAAACTGAGAGTCATTTTGGGCTCATTTTTGGTTTTTCCACATTCCACAACCCCAATCTTGTTGGTCCCTTCCACCCTAAAAAGGCCCCTATAATTGACCCTCTACCCCCATCTACAGTGCCCCCTGTCCCAGTTTAGGCCACCCTTGCAGTGGGGGCCTGGATAACTGAAGCATCCTTCTGATCTCCATGCCTCCAGCTCTCTCCCTCTGCAAACTTCCCACTTCAACCCATCGGTCCACAGCAAAGGCAAAGGCGGGTGAGCTTCAGAGCGCACACCCGAGCCCCTTACCATCCTGCGCTGGTTGAAAGACTCTGACTGGAGTGACTTGTTGTCCTCGGTGGAGCCCTCTGACACTCTTGACTTCCTTCTGTGCCTTCTTTCATTGGCATTTTTGGAGGCTAACGGAGACCCATTGTGGGACAGCAGAGAGGCTGTGTCAATCCCCAGCGCCGCCAGCACCTGGGAGAAGAGAACAGCCGCTGCAGCCAGGAGCACATGGTTGGACAGAGCATGAATGTGTCTCCCAGACCCAGCCTGTCACATGGCTGGGGGGCGCTGTGACACAGAAATTTAAGGGTTAGCACCTGGGTGGTTCTGGGGTGAGGACATGGCAGGAACAGTGATATGGTTTGTATCTGGATGTCCCCCAAAACCTCAAGCAGCCACTGCGTAGGGGTTTTTCAGAGTAGGCTGAATCTAGAGTTTGTGATTGATTCATGGTCCAGTGCTGGGATTATGGGTGTGAGTGCTACACCTACCCTAGGGCAGGTATCCCTCATACAATAGAAGGGAGGAAAAGAAGCTTGCTCCTCACTTTTGCTCTCCTTGCTTTTGCTGTCTTCCACCGCCACCACAAACTGTTGCCCCTCTGCCATGCCACCCTGCCTTGGGGCCAGTTGATTATGGACTGAAACCTCCACGAACTGTGAGATAAGTAAACCTTTCCTCCTTTAACTTTGGGTGTTGGATATTTTGTCTCAGCAATGAGAAAAGTAACTAAGACAAACAGTGACCTCGGAGTCTCCTTCCTCACTGTCCTAGACGCTTGGTACCCGTTATCAAGTCGGTACACCCCTCCCCAGCGGCCAATGCTCACACCTACAGCTCGGTGGAGAGAGTTACTTTGGCTGCCTGCCCCTAGGACAGGTGTGGAGTACAAAAGACTGGTTCTCTTGCTGAGCTCAAGGTAGGACAGACTCGAGCTCCAGGGCTACCCAGGGGCTCAGCTGAGACCTTGTCACTGTTGAGTTTCACTTCCTACTTCCTTCACCCCACTTCTCCCCAGAAGACTCTCTGAAAAACTTACTGCATAAGCATCCTCTCTGTAAAAGAAACCTGACCCAAGACAGTCCCAAAGTGAGAGGTATTCTCCCTAGCTCCTTAGAATAGAAGCCTTGGGCTGGGGATTTAGCTCAGCGGCAAAAGCGCCTGCCTGACAAGCGCAAGGTTGTGAGCTCGTTCCCGGTACCAGAGAAAAACCAAAAAAAAAAAAAAAAAAAAAAAAAAAAAAAAAAAGAATAGAAGCCTTAACCTAAGTGAAGCAGGTGGTTTCTAAGTCAATCTTCTCCAGAAAGTAACTTCAAAGTAACTTCTATACTTGGCAATTAGTTTCCCAAACCTTTTGTCCCTCACAAACCTCTTGTTCCTTCCGGCACATCTCAAGGGCCTCCTGGAACTTCTTTTCCTTTTCTTCAATTTCAGCAATGGTTGCCTGGTTCTGTTCTTCATATGCCATGGTGACCACAGCCAGGATCAAGTTGACCAGGTAGAAAGATCCCAGGAAGATGACAATCACGAAAAAGACCATATACATTTTCCCAGAAGCCCTGAGGGTCTACAGATTCAAGGGAAAGAGAGAGAGAGACCTGTACCTTTAGCACATGGGACCCTGTGGTGAAGTCAAGATCCTCTGGGGCAAAGTGCAACCATGCAGCTGACCACCAGCCTCCAGCAAGGTCAAGTTGGGGACAAGCAGATCAATACCTGCTGGTAGAGGCGTTCCCAGGAATCCTGCGTCATGAGGCGGAACAGGGAGAGGAAAGCCCAAGCAAAGGAATCAAAGCTGGTGTAGTTAAAATCTGGGTTTTCACAAGTTTTGAGGCAGGCATAACCATCAGGGCACAGGCTGCAGCAAGAACAAAGAAGGCCATGATTGTGCAGACCCACTTTTCCCTTATCCCCTGCTTGGGGTTGTAGGAAAACCACAGGGTTTGAAGTCAGACATCAGAGTTCAAGGCCTAGTTTTCCTCTTATCAGCTAAAGACCCTGGGCACTTAGTCTTTCTAAGATTTGGTTCCTTTTATCCATAATGTGGGGATGATAATACTTTAGTGTAGAATTTCAAGTCAGAGAAGTAACTAGATAACTGCCCAAACATGATCCTGTAAGCTACCAACCTCTTTGCCAGTTCACACCAGGAAAGGGAGAGTGGGCAACAATAATGACTTAAATTATGAGCCCATTGGTATCATCTACAGCACTGTTTATTTATTGATTGATTTTATTATTATTTTTTTTTTTGGTTTTTCTCCGGTACCGGGAACCGAACTCACGACCTTGCACTTGCCAGGCAGGCGCTTTTGCCGCTGAGCTAAATACCCAGCCCCAGCACTGTTTATTTAAAAAGTACCTATTTAGTGAAAGTCACTGATGAACTATACGTGACAATGAAAATAACACTTACTATGTCCCTCTCCTTCCCCTAAGTGCTTTACTATTCTGTAACCTTCTTATTGATCCTTCTTTACAGATAAGAAAGGAGGGATTCAGAGAGAAATCAGTTTTTTAAACCATACAGGTGCCAGCATATTCATTAAAACGGGGAAATACAACCATCCAACAACTTGACTCTGTCTCGGACTGGTTAATGAAGGGAGTCAGGGAAGACAGCTGGTCCCAGCGGACTCCTCACTCTTATAAGAGGGTAGGATGATGTCACAATGAATCCCTGGCTCGGGGCATGTGCATGGCCTGGTCAAGGAGATAGCAAAGTGTTGTGTGAAGTTGAGGATTCCCTTACTCAAGGGAGTCATCCCCACACCAGCCTCTGGTCCTTACCTGAGACATTCGTGTGAACACACAACTCTGGGACCACAGGTTGGGTAGAGCACTGATGAATAGTGACAATCAATTCCAATTCTACATACACCTTGACTGGACACCTAAAAGCTCTCTTACTCTGCAGACCCACATTCAAAGATGGTGTCTTTGTTTGTTCCCTCAAGGAGCTAGTTGACCCGTTCTCTGCAGCTTTCCTAATTAACTTGGAGTGTGACCTCAGTCCTGCATTTCACATAGAGCTCCACCTCAGCCATCACAAGCAGCTGTTTGATGTGTCAACAGTCAGAACTTCAAGGACTAAATGAGACCATGGTGCACAGTCTCTTGCACTGTGCCCTCAACATAGTATGTATTCCACCTAAAGCACAAATTCAATTTATTTAAATTGTGCTATTCTTAGCCTTGGCAGCTACCAAAAGGAGGTGCTGGAATGACACACAAGGGCTGGTCAAGGTATCTGGTGAGTGTTTAAAACAAAAAAGATTATTACAGTCAAAGACACATTGCCATTAATCCCCCTCAAAATGCACCCGCTCACTTCAAACACACTGCTCCCATCATTCTTGACACTTTCTGAAGCAGTTCTGGAGATCTCTTTCATGAATGCCTGCAAGGTGTGATAAAACAGCATATGCTGCTGCCCAGTGCCATCCGATGGAGAGGCAGGCTTGTAAGATATAGTAAGATATAGTAGAGCACATTCTCTTCCACCTTATTCACTGGATCTGGCAGTGTGATTTCGTTTTTTTTTTGTTGTTGTTGTTGTTCTTTTCTTTGTTTTGTTTTTTTGAGACAGGGTCTCACTATGTTCAGGATGGCCTTGAACTCACTTTGTAGCCCAGGCTGGTCTTGAACTTGCAGTGATCCTCCTGCCTCAGCCTCCCGAGTGCTGGAATTACAGGTGTGTGCCAGCACACCCAGTATAGTCCCAGTACAGTGTGATTTCTGACTCTTCTCCAAAATAAACATGAAAGGTGAATGGTTTGAGCCAATTCAGGACACTGACGCAGCCACAAAAACATGTCAGAAGATATTCATGAAAGAGAATTTCCAGAACTGCTTCACCAAGTGGCAAGAACAACGTGTGTTGGAAGCAAACGGGTATATTTTGAGGGCATTAAAGGCAGTGTCTTTTACTATAACAAATGTTTATTTATTTATTTATTTTTGTCTTTTTGAGACAGGGTTTCATTACGCAGTTCAGATTGGCCTTGAACTCACTTTATAGCCCAGGTTGACCTCAAATTCCCAGTGGTCCTCCTGTCTCAGCTTCCTGAGTACTGGGATTACAGGCATGTACCACCATGCCCGGCTATAACAGATGTTTTAAACATTTACACAGCCACAGTATTTTTGCATCTTGCCACGTATGTGGGAGAATGCTAAGAATCACGGGGTGTTTTCCAGTGCCTGTTCTCTACCTGGGACCCTAGGCTTCCCTTCCACAGTGCCCCTGGGGTTCTCAGCACAAGCCCAGGTCTGGCATTCACATCAGGCCCCACAAGGCTCACTCTGCTGCTGCCCTGAGCTGGTCCCTCTTTGCCTGCCCAGCTTGGTGCCCTCTTCTAGTGCTTGGCCAGGATCTGCCTCTCTGGGAGAGGACACTATGAGGTCCTTGGTTTAAACTTACATCAGAAGAAATGAAAACTGACATCAGAACAACCTTCTCCCTGAACAATTCCTAGTGCATTTGTGGAGAAAGTAGCCAAGAAGCTCAATCCTGCCCAACTTCTCCTATCTGTGCTATGCTCAAGCTCTATCCGAAATTACTTTCCTAGTGAGCTGATTGAGGCTGAGCCTCACATAGGTCCTACCCAGCCTGACTTGGGCAATGTGTGGCCAAACCTTTTCTGCCTGTGCCTTCTCCATAGGCAAAGCAGCAGGCAGAGCTGAGGGGTCCTCACGCCTTCACTGAGTCTTACCTTCCATTCTGCGACCTGTTATGGCCTCCATCCAAACATCTCTTGCTCACTCAGCTGGAGGATCCTATCGTCCTTGAGTGCTGACCTTGATCCCCACTCCATGGAGCCATCCCTAACCTTCTTCGCTTCACATGGTTCCCTCAGAGGGGTACCCAGCCTGAGGAGCATCGGGCACAACACATATTCTCTGCAGTGCAACATCTTTATGCATATGTACCAGAGAGAAAAAAAACCTGGCAGCTTGCAGGCTGAATTTAATCCACAAAAATATTTTGTTTGGTCAATACAATGTGTAGACATTTTGGGGAACTGGTAGCCAAGTTTATAGCTGCAAGAGCTCACATTAAAAAGTTGTGATTTCCAGTCTGTCTTTTAAAGTTGGAAGAGCTGGAAGCCGTGGTCCCACATTTCCACGTGGCAGCAGGAGCTGGGCCGAGCAGCGGCTGCCCCCTTAGATGGGCTTGAACTCTCAGTTGCCATGGTTCCCTCTGCCAGCTCCGCTCATTTGTTGTTCTGTGCCTGACCTCTGTAAGAATCTGAACACAAATTGCAGTGTTCTGCACGTTTTTCTGCCTCTCTTACGTAAGAGTAATGAAACCCATAGGACGGAGTTAGCTGTGATGATTCGCCACAGAAGATCTGACACAATTCTACTTGAGACACATGGGTTTCAGCAATGGATCATTTGCAGAAGTGGCCGCCGTCCCTCCCTTCAGTGTCTCACCCTTTTGCACTGCAACCTGCAGCTCCTCCCACCGACAGGACAAGTCCATCTCCCCACCCTCCGCATCTGTACTGGCTTGTGCCTTGCTTTGCAGCAGAACTGAAAAGCATGAAGTCGTGCCCGTTTTAAGCCTAGAAGTCAAGAGAATGTTCACACTTCCACTATTTCTCTTGGAACCCTCACTCTGCAAAAGAACAGGCTGGGGCTGGACTAAGGGAGAAGCCAAGGGGAGGAGACAGCATCCCAGACTTGCCACCTGGGGCTCCGCCGTGCATGTTCTGCAGAGCAGGCATAAGCCAGTCAGTGCCATCCAATGACCACTTGATCGCCGCCCAAAGTGCTATACCAGGAGTCCTGTTTAAGCAGCAGAATGGTTGACTCATTATTGCTGTTTTATAGGATCTTGGTGACCTCAAGATTTGTTACAAGACAAAAGCTCTTCCCTGTGAGTCCTAGGATGGCAAAGGCCCTGACTTACTCATTTATACAACTTTCTCAGAACCTAGAACCCAGTCTCTGCCCAGAAAATGCTGAGGACAAGAGGGAGGAAGGGCTGCCAGGCACAGACGGGCTACACTCACCCTGCACCAGCTCCATGGCCACACAGCAAGGGATCCGAAGTGCCTGGCTTAATAGCCCACTCATCTGCCAAAAAAGGGGAAAACGAAAGCCTCACAGATGGTTCTACACCATCCAGCGGGCTTTGTGTGGTCTTCTGCCCGAGTGAGGGGAGCTGCCTGGGCTGCGTGCACCCAGTGGGTACTCGGTGGATGCCTGGAGCCATGCGGAAGGTAGAAGTTGCATCTGGGAAGAGCTGGGAAGCAACTTGGCTCTGCACTTCCTCCAGCAGAGCCACAGTGATTTACTTCTGGATTTAAAAGCACATTTCCTTACAAATAGGATACTGGGAAAACGGGAAATGGGAAACCCAAAAGTAAAACACAACGCAAAAAGAGCATTTCAGCAGGAATGAAGAATCAAAATGTCTAGCTGGGTGCGGGGGCACAAGCCTGTAATCCCAGGCTGAAGCAGGAGGCTGAAGCAGGAGGATTGCAACTTTGAGGCCGCTAACACATGGGCAAGTTAGTGAAACTTCATCTCAAAGTAAAATTTAAAATGAAGCTAGGGGTGTAGCTAAGTAGTAGAGCACTTGCCTTAGCATGTACGAGGGCCTGAGTTCTACCCAAGTACCACAAAATAAAAAACCAAACTGAACCAAACCAAATCAAGCCAAGCCAAACCAAACTGGAATAAGTCAAAAAGTATCCAAAATGACAAAATGACTAAAAGATGGGCAGAGTTTTGAACCCCTCGGTTCCCAGGTCCCATTGGTTTCACTCACAGGTTCTAGATGAACAGTTGGCAGCCTCCTGGGGAGTTGTGCCATTCCTGACGCACTTGTTCTTGAGGTTTCCCTTGAAGAGCTGCAGGCCCACCAAGGCAAAGACGCTCAGGCAGAAGACAGTGAGAATGGTCACGTCAGCCAGCTTCCTCACCGAGTGGATCAGTGCCCCTACAATGACCTTCAGCCCTGTGGGAAGACGACAGTGACACTGCCCCGTGGACGTGGATGGCACACGCATGAGTCCTTGTTCCCTTCCTCCTCTCTACACCCAGGTGTGGAACGGTAACAAACACCTGACAGTTCCAAGCTCAGCTTCTGATCAGAATTTTTCAATTGTTTTGAGGGGCAGGCATGCCTACGGTCCTCAAAGATAAGCAACTGAGATCCAGGGAATACATTTCCTATCATTTCAAGGCTAATGGGTTCCTGGTATACCAATTCAATTAGAGAAATTGTAGAGTACCTGCTCTGTTCCACACCCTGTTCTAGATGCAAGGCTATTCCCTTTGCCCCAGTATTTTGCAACTATTTTTCTGAACTCATCTCAGTTCTGGGATGCAGGTCAAGGCTTGGGATGCATGGACTTCACTCTGTGTGGGAGGGCAGGGAGGACAATAGGAGGCTTGGAACTGCCCCGGGTTTGTAAATATTTCATACCTGTGCATGGACAAAGACGGACAAAACAAAAAACAGACACAAAGACGCCAAGTGAAGAACCAAGCAATGGAGTGAGACTGACGTGGCTGAGGAAGTAGGTGTGACCTCTTCATTCCAAAGATGCCAGAGCAAGTGCACAGAACAGTTCCCAAAGCCCTGTGCAGGGACTTCTCGTGAGAACTTACTAGGATGGCCTAGATCTCAGTCTGAGGTGCGGGATGCCAGCACTGTCTCTCAGAACTCGTAGGCAGAAGTTCTTGTAGGTTCCCTCAAGATGTGGACAGCATAAAAGGGCACAGTTGCCAAGAAGAGCTTGCTGTGGGGGCTTTCCTCATGATAACCTGTCCTGCTTCCTCCAAGGAATACTTTTATCTGGCTTTTCCCTCTTTTACTCGGCCCAGGCTTGCTCTACAAAGCCAGTTTTTCTCACACCCCTCACCTCTACTTTTGCAAATAAACTTTGCCACTGCTTCTTGCTCATTTCTTTGAGTTCTTTGCTCAAGACTAGAAGAACCTGGAATCAACTCCAGAAGGAGAGATGAGCAACCCAGAACCTGATCACCGTCATTTGGTAAGCCACTTGTAGAAGGAGCTACCTGATAACAAGACCATGGAAAACACTGAGTCACTGAGGGAGAAGGGGGAAATCTGAGAGACTCTGTCATTTTGGCGGACAAATAATCCACCTAGAACTAGGCCCAGGTATGCTGTCAACTGAAGCTCAGGGCAGGAAATTAGCAAAGGTCGGCATGATTTTTCAAGAAGTTGATGTCTTGGCAGAGCCCTGAGGGAGGAACACGAGTGAGGAGGAGAGGAAGGGTGTTCAGAAGTACAGAGCCAGGACTGGAGATGAGCCAGGGTTTGGCACGTGGGTGAAAACAGTGGATTCCGGAACTTGATGCAAGGTGTGTTGAGTGAGGGTAGAGGGAGGAGGCCTCAGCAGGAGACTGGTGTCTTGGTTACTTTTCTCTCGTTGCTGAGACAAAATACCCAACCCCCAAAATGAAGGAAGGAAAGGTTTATTTAGCTTACAGTTTGTGGAGGTTTCAGTCCATACTTGGCCGGCTTCGAGGCAGAAGATAGCAAAGCAACAAGAGCAAAGGGGGTAATGGCAGCCGAACAGCAAAGCAGCCAAAGCAAAAGGGAGGGATGGCGGCAAGCAGCTTCTTTCCCTGCCTTACTTTGTAAACAGGCTACCCCCACCTAAGGGGCATGTAGCTCTCACATAATCTCCATGCCCTCCTCTTCCACAGGCTCAGGATGTATACAAAGTAAGCATCCTGGCTTCCTGCTGAGTCACTTAGCCAAACCTCTAGACTCCTCAAGTTGACACAATGTATCAACTATAACAACTGGACAGGTCAGGTCTTATAAACAAGAGTCACGATCTTCCTGGCTAAGAGCAGGTGAAGAGATGCCGACTTTGTCCAGTGGAAGTTGGTAAAGAGTTTTCAATCTTTTCCTGTAGATCAAGACATGGACTTGCAGACTGGTAGAAAGGGAGTCCCTACTGTAGAAGAGTATTTGTTCCTTTCTTTTCTGTGGTGCTGGGGATCAAACCCAAGGCCTCACACTTGCCAGGCAAGCACTCTCCCACTGAGCTATCCTATCAGGCCCGGCATTAGTACTTCTGTTTAATGGATGAGGGAAGGGATTCTCAGGCCAGGGGGGGAGCTTGTCCTTTCACCACAAAGAGGAAGCTCTGAATCCCTCTTTAGGGCAATTTACCTTGTCCCTGGCTTCACCACTGTCAGCCTACTAGTGGATGACTGAGCTCCTGGTGACAAGAGCTTTTAGAGGTCCAGTGAGATGGACTACTTTTGTGGACTACTTTTGTTGCTGAATTCTTTCTTAGTGCCCCCTTTTTTTTTCTCCTCTGCAGGTCCAATGACAGAACTGAGGCTTGAGCCTTTTGAGCTATGGCAATGGTGAAGGTATGAGAACTTAAGAATGCTTTATCTCTTCCTCTTTGCCTTAAATTTAAATTTTTAGTTTAGGGTATAAGTGAGAATGCAACTGGGGATTTTGCCTCAAACCTCACAGCAAGAACAAGAAATGAGAACTTGGGGGCTGGGGATTTAGCTCAGTGGCAAAAGCGCCTGCCTGGCAAGCGCAAGGTCGTGAGTTCGGTTCCCGGTACCGGAGAAAAACCAAAAAAAAAAGAAATGAGAACTTGACCTTCTTGTCATTTATTGATGGGGTAAATGGACAGAGCATTGGCCTAAGAGCCAGGACAGCCAGTTTCTAGGTCACACTTTGCCTTTCATGAGTGATGAGGACCTAGTCTTGTGTTTTCTATTCTCAGGACCTTGGTTTCTTTGCCTCTCGAGTAGAGACAATAGTCCTTGCCCTCAAATCTTACAGGGTTTTTGTAATAATCCAAGGAGAGCATTAGGTGTGAAAGCTAACATTTTCTCTGTGAATAAATGTATTGGTAGAACTGCTCACCTGGGATCACAGAAACTGTTTTTAAAGCTCTGAGAACTCGGAATGTCCTCAACCCTGAGAATCCTTTCAGTTCTGTTGATGTGCCAATGTATCTGTAAGACCAGAAGTCAGTCAGTATTCCCACAAAAGGAAAACCCGAGGAGGGCACACAGCACACGTATGTGCAGCATAATCTTGGGTACATGAACCTGGGAAGACCCAGGGCAAGCACTGAAACTTCATGGCACTACCACCCATAGACTAACACAGGTCCTGATGTAAGCATCACATTCTCTTCCACAAAGGATCACTGCAGAAAATGCATTGGACCCAGGGGCTCTGAGCTACACTGCTGGATGGACAAACGTGCAGCATTGGGCAGCCCATCTCGGATGAGGTTCCCCAGGGAGATACATGGGAAGGCACAGTGCTGAGCCACTTTGGTCAGTTACCAGCTCAGAGTGGAGGTCTTGGACTTGTCCCTGTGGGGATGGCACTAGGCCCGAAGAGTGACTTCTAAAGTAACATTCTATGACAAGAAAACCTAGGCCATGAGATTCCAGATGACGGACCAAAACAAAGAAACACAACCAGGTTGGGATCCTGGACACTCCCAGAAGCCCACAGCAACACACAAATCAGCACAGGAAATACTCACGCTAGGGTAATGACACTAAAGTCCAGCCAGTTCCAGGGATCTCTCAGGTAGGTGAACTCATTCAGACAAAACCCTCTTGCCAATATCTTTATCAAAGCTTCGAACGTGTAAATAACAGTGAAGACATTCCTGGAGAAGAGGGTGGAAAGGGCATTAGCTGTGCCACGGATGGAGCTAGGTGCCCCTTCTGCCTCCAGGAGGGAGGAAGAGGCTTGGGTGGCTGTCCAAAGGGACACATGCAAAGGACATCACCCAGGTGGCAAAAGGGGAAGAGTAGGTAAGAAGACAAAATACAGATGGCAAAACATTGCACATCATGGCAGATGGACAGAAGGTGGGGTGGTGTAAAGCTGAGATGGCCAGAAGCCTTTGAAGGTAGGCAGTGGGCAGTGGCAGATGAGGAACAAGTGTGCTCCCATTCCAGGAGGCTCCCAGGGGCTCCATGTCCTATGGAGGCTGGAGACTCCTTTCCAACGTGATGGCAGAAGGTGTGGAAGTGGATGGGGCTTTGCTCCCTCCCTCCGCTCCAAATGTCTCTACTTCCAGCCATACTGGAAAGATTAGGGTGAAAGAAAATGAGTGTGTGTGTATGTGTGCGTGCGTGCTTGTGTGTGTGTTCCTAATTTTTCCTTTTCTCATTGTAGGAAGCTGTACGAATGGAAAAATTTTCTAAAAACACCACAAGTATTTTAGTGGAGATAGGGAAGTACCAGAAGAAAAAGGTAAAAAAGCTAAAGGCCGTTTCCTCTGGGAAAATGGAGTCCAGGGTAAGAAGACAGGGAATAGTAAATTTCTTGCCGGTTTTTGGCAGAGTCCTTATAGAACTGTGTGATCTTTTAAACAATGAGCACATATATCTTAAAGTACAAAGTGAGTAATGGTAATGTTTTCTCATATCTGTGAGAGGAGAAATAGTGTTTAAAGTTGTTCATGAGGAAATCTATATCTGGCTGTGTAGCCACTTGCGCTGTCAGCATCAATCGAATCTTGTTGGTCCCCCCCCATCCCTATGTTTTCTAAATTAGAAAATATTAAGTCAGAATTATAGGTTGTTGGGAAGCTTTGACAGATATTTCCAGCTTTTCGAATCAAACACAAACCCAGAAAGGATAGGGAGAGCGCTTTGTGAAGGCTGTTTCAGGGTTCTCTGGAGGACGAGGGCCCCAGCTCGCTGCAGCTGAGCCCTGGCAGATTGAACATCTCAGCTCAGGAGACGGCAGGCTGTGGAGGCACCTCCTTTCCTTGGTGGGATTTGGGCATGGTTTTTAAAATACGTGTTTCCTGACGTTTTCTTGCTGGTGAATGAAGAAAATCCCCGGGTTTTGGAAAGAAGTCAAACTTAGTCACTGAGCCATTTGCACTGCTTCTCAAATCCTGATGTTTGATTAGAAATCCTGACATTTAGGCCCCTCGAAGATCCATACTATTCAAAATTGTGAATGGGTCACTGAGCTAAACCATTTATATTTGTAGGAATGGCCGTTTACAAAAGTTTCACCCCTCAGTTTCAAAACAGTATGTAAGCCCATTTTGTTTGCCAGCCAAAGCTATTCTGTGTGGGAGGGCAGCATCTCTCCTTCTCTCTGCTCGGCAGGCTGAGAAGGCCACAGTCAGCATGTGTTCACAGTTGCCACTGTGCCCTTTCACAGCAAATCGGGATCTGGAGGCGCAGTAGGCACCTGGCTTTTGCCCTGGTAAGTTGTGTGCTCACACTGGGAAGCAGGGTCTGCAGTTTGGATGGCTTTGTCTGTCCTTACTGACCACGTGGCTGGGACTTCTTCCAGGCTGATTCGATGTGCCTGTTTTAAATTTTTTTTTTTATTTTAAAAAGATTAAAATTTTTAAAAAACAATATAGAATTTCAAAATAAGACGATAGTTACATTGCATATTGTTACCTTCAAAGTAGTTGCTCAGATTACCAGATATAGTCATGCAAAATTGATCAAAAACAAATTAAGCATTAACTAGTCCTCTCAATAAACCAACAGAAACTAGTACTACAATTATCTTAGCTATCTTGTGTGTGTGTGTGTGTGTGTA